GATGTTAACATGTTGTGATGTAGTGATAAGAATAAAAATTATAAGCTTAAATATGAGAAAGTGGACATAAGGAAAAATGCTGAAATGGGGAGAAATTTTGGTTATTGAATCTATAATATTTGGAAATTATAATGAAAATAAGAATATTATATTTATTACTGATCTGTTGATATAGAAGTGAGACAGATAAGATACGTATCTGGAACACTAGATGTTGGGGGGAATTGTGACAAAGGGAATTGGGGTCATTTAAAAATTTGGAAATGATAAATATTAAACATTTAATTTAAATATCAACACAAAATTAAAGCTGGGAAAATTCATAAGGTTATTGATGATCCAAAAGATGGAATGTTAAAATAAATAAGACATATAAAATTATTGACAAATGTAAGAAAGCTATTAAGTAGCTGATGGATAGAATAAGAAGTATACTAATTTAAACAAGGGAAAAAGGGAGGAAATATTGGCTGTAATAGTTGGAGATTTGTATTAATAATATTTGTATGTAATGGAATTATTGTAACTCAGACACCACATTGCTTTTCAAAGATTGGAAAATTAATAAAAAGTTTAAAAAAAAGTTTGGTGACCGTTCAAAGTTAGAACAGTACTGAAAAATGTGACTTATGAACATTTTTCACACCTACGATCTTTACAGCATCCCCATGATCATCTGATCAAAATTCAGATACTTGGCCACTGACTCGTATTTATGACGGTTGCAGTGTCCCAAGGTCACGTGATCCCCTTTTGTGATCTTCTGACAAGCAAATTCGATGGGGAAGCCAGATTCACTTAACAATTGTGTGACTAATTTAACAACTGCAGTGATTCCCTCAACAGCTATGGCAAGGAAGGCGGTAAAATGGGGCAAAACTTACTTAACAAATGTCTCGCTTAGCGGTGAAAATTTTGGCCTCAACAGTGGTTGTAAATCAAGGAGCATCTGTAAAAGCAACTGAACTTCATCAATTTCCTGGTTATTCTTCCATACTAAGTTTAGCCCAATGATCTCACTGGAAAAGCCCCTGCACCACAACTGATATAGAGCATCTGCTTTAAAGCAGCAGCTGATGGGAGGTCTGGAAGCTTCTCATTTTCCTGGCGCATGAGTAAAAGAAGTCTGGGTTATCCCAGGAAGCTGAAAATAGTAAATTCTTTCCTTCAGCAAAGCTTCCAGAAGTCCAAGGATGCTTTCTTCATTATTGTTCGACATAAAAGAAAGTAGGTCATTGCACACGTGATGTTTTTAATTGCTTCGTTCTTGAACTGGAGTCAAGTGTCTTTGGACAATCTGTTTTTTCTTTCGGGCTACAGAACAAGATGAAGAATCTCCTCCTAAAAGTACAAAACATACTTATAACAGAATAACAGAGTTGGAAGGCACCTTGGAGGTCTTCTAGTCCAACCCCTTCTCAAGCAGGGATCCCTGTAAAATTTCAGACAAATGGCTGTCAAGTCTCTTCTTAAAAACCTCCAATGTTGGAGCTCTCACAATTTCTGGAGGCAAGCCGTTCCACTGATTAATTGTTCTGTCAGGAAATTTCTCCTTAGTTCTAGGTTGCTTCTCTCCTTAATTAGTTTCCATCCGTTGCTTCTTCTACTTTACCAAGAGCTTGTTCCAGCTCAGAGAAAGAGATCCCAAAACTCAAGGGAGCTTTCAGTAATCTGCTGGCAATCATGGGATTGGAAATCCCAAAGGTGCTTTTTCCAGGAGGCAACTGGACTTTCTTGTTTTTCTTTGAAGACGTTTCGCTTCTCATCCAAGAAGCTTCTTCAGCTCTGACTGAATGGTGGGGAATGGAATATTCCTTGCGGGCAGCTGGTTATTTGCATTCTTTTAGAGCAGACATGTCAAACACAAGGCCTGGATGTGGCCCGCGAAGCCATCCTGGAAACAGTGAGGGAACGGCCCCCGCTGCCTTGGCCCTGGCCCAGGCTGGCCGGGAGCCAATGTACAATTTTGTGGTGGCCATTTATGCTGAAACGCATTTAGTCTTAGCTCCATAAGCCCCACCCCCCTGCATGGCCTGAGAGGAACAGTGAGGCTCCTCCAGTGGACCATGCCTTGGCACTTGCCCTGGTCCCATCCCCTTCTGCCAGAGACCCTCAGATCTGTCCCACTCCTGCCCAGGCCCCCACAGGTACCCTTGACGCGAACGGTGTAGAACTGGCCACACCCACTCCATCCACGCCCACCCAGCACCCACCCTGGCCACACCCAGCACCCACCCTGGCCACACCCACCCGGCCCCCTGAGGGCAACCGCAATGCTGATGCGGCCCTCAATGAAATTGAGTTTGACACCCCTGTTTTAGAGAGTCACTGAGGCCACCTGGAGGTTTATCTGGGTCCTCAGGGTCACCTGAGTGGTGCAAATGGGTGTGGAGCCTTCTTGGAACTGCTGAAAAGACTTGTGTTGTAGGCTGGAGATAGGTGATGTCATATCCTTCCTCCTCTGTTTAGCTGAAGAAGCTTCTTGGATGAGAAGCGAAACCTCTTCAAAGGAAAACAAGAAAGTCCAGTTGCCTTCTGAAAAAAGCACCTTTGGGACAATCATGACCTGGATGACTGAGAATCTCCATAGACATCGGATTGGTAATTTATCAAATTAGCAAGAATAAAAAGCTCATAGGTAGTTCTCCTTTAGCAACCACAATCGAGACCGGCAAGTTGATCATTAAGCAAAGCACTTGCTAAGTGAAACCACGGCTGTGCTTATCATCTTACTTCACCTGGCCTCTACATGGAACGAATGGTCCGTCTTCTGGATCACCTTCCTCCTCCAATCTCTTCCATTACCAACGGTGGTACAGAAATGCTGCCTCCCAATCGTTGCTGCCTATTTAGGGCCAAAGAAGCAAATGCTGCAAATTAATACGTGCATTTATCAGAGGCAAACACCAATGGCGAGCTGGCAAACTGCATTGCTCAACCCTTCTCCCACACTATTACAGCTAGTCCTCAACTTACGACCACAACCGAGCCCAGAGCTTATGTTGCTAAGTGAGGTATTTGTTAGGTGAGTTTTGCCCCATTTTACACCTTTTCTTGCCACAGTTGTTAAGTGAATCACTGCAGTTAAGTTAGTAACATGGTTAATAAGTGAATCTGGCTTCCCCCTTGAATTTGCTTGTCAGATGGTCGCACTGGGACACTGCAACCGTCATGAGTCAGTTGCCAAATGTCTGAATTTTGATCACGTGATCATGGGGATGCTGCAACGGTCATCATAAGTATGAAAACTGGCCTTACGCCACTTTTTTCAGGGCTCTTACAACTTCAAGCGGTCACTAAATGAACTGTTGTAAGTCGAGCACTACCTGTATTCTGCTTTGCTGGCATTGGACTAAAGGCTCCCAGGAATGTTTCCATCACAGAACATCAGCAGCGTTGGAAGGGACTTTGGAGGTCATCTAGTCCAACCTCCTCTGCTCTAGCTCTATAATCTTCCAACTATGATTTGAAACCACAGGTAGTCCTTGAGTTACCACCACAATGGAGTCCCAGTTTTATGTTGCTGAGTGAAACATTTGTTCATTGAATTTCCCCCCATTTTACGACTTTTCTCGCCGCAGTTGTTAAGCGAATCACTGCAGTTGATAAGTTAGTAACCTGGTTGTTAAGCGAATCTGCCTTCCCCATTGACTTTGCTGGGCAGAAGGTCGCAAAAGGGGAATCACATGACCCCGGGACAGTGCGACCGTCATAAATATGAGTCAGGGGCCAATTGTCTGAATTTTGATCATGTGACCACAGGAATTGCTGCAACAGTCGTAAGTGTGAGAAACGGTCAGAAGTCACTTTCTTCAGTGGCGTTGTAAATTTGAACGGTCACTAAATGAACAGTTGTAAATCGAGCACTACCTGTACCTGTAAGAGACAAATCCCTTCAATTCAATTCAATTCAATTCAATTCAACAGCTCCCAAAGGCAGCTGCCTGTAATTCCCAGACAAGGAAAACAAACATTTTTGCCCCTTTCCCTCGATTCTCCCTGGAGATTCCGGGATTTTTTTTTCCATCCAGGATTTTCTGCATTTAAAAAAAAAAAAAAAAAAACACCCCAAAAAAACCACTTTAAACAACCTTAACAGATTAAAACAGTCTGGCCACCCATTGTTCACAGAAGGGGGGGGGGGGAAATCCAGCGGGAAGCGAAGCGTCACTTTTAAACGGTCCCAGTTTCTATCTTAATATATTGTTTATTATTAAATTTATTAATGTTTACGCCTCAGGCTCGACGGGCCGCACCCGTTGCCATGTCAACAGGGCCGAGGCCTTGACCGGCGAGGAATAGAGTTCCCTTCCGCGCCGCCGTTGTTACCGGAGGGCTCCTTCCCTACCCTTTTCCCGGCGAACTCTCTCTCTCGGTCTGACTGTCTCTCGCGGCGGAGCTTCCGCGAAACCCCCGGAACTTCTCTCCCTCCGAGCGCGGTGAGAAGAGAACCGGCGAGGCCGCGTTTCCATGACGACGCGACCAAGCCTGGCTTCAAACCCTCGCGCCGCTTGGCGCGCCGTTTACGTCAGTGCAGCGGACCAATAAAACACTGGAGGAGGAAGTAGGTGTGGCCTATATTATCCAATCAAAAAGGAGGGGGAAAAGGAGCGGGAAAAAGACACTCAGAAAGCGGCAGCGGCTGTAGAGACCGTCTTTAAAAGTCTACCTTTCTAGTGGTCTTCTTCCCATCTGTCAAACTACTAAAGCCAATCATAATTCTATTCTCCAAATCGGCCACGCCTTCTATTATTGTCTCTCGCTGATTGGGTGGAGTCGGCTCAGAAGGTATACCGTAAGCAGGAAACATCGGTTGTACTAGCAGCTGATAGCATGATTGTGATTGGGCGAGAAGATGACCTCATTAAGATTGACAGGTATGAAAGCCAATAGAAAAAAATATTTCAATACTGCCGGGTTGTGTCTTGCCCAACCCGAAGCCTCCAAACTGCTGAACTTCAACTCCCACAGGTTGACATGCCGCATAATCCTAGGCCTACAGGACCGTGGGATTATGGGAGTTGAAGTCCAGTTTTCCGGAATCTGTTCATGCTTTTTTTTAGCAGAGTTGCTTGGACAGGTATGCCGGGTTGCTGCCGCGGGTGGTTCTCAATGGGGTCCGCCGGACTCGCAGGCGTGTCTGGTTGTGGGTTGTGTCAACCTGATGGGCTTTGCTCGGTTGAGCTCCCAATAAATTGTGCATCTTTTAGTGCAGCTGATTGCAATCACGTGCAGTTACTACTATTAATAATATTAATAACATTACTATTAATAACATTAATATTAAAATATTATTAGTTGCTATTTGCTGGTAGAATTGCAGCAAAGGAAGGGTTGCAACAGGGAGGTGGCTCACGGCTTAACCTATAAAGGCGCCCAGAAACCCAGATCACAAAACTGAATTGGGAGGGGAAGGTCTTGTATCAACTCTAATGCAGCCCTTGTGCTATAGTAGTTTTAAGTATGGCATAAGTAGATCCAGGTTCAAGACCACCTTCAACTATGGCCCTCAATGAGTGACTGTGGGCCATCATACACTTGTGAAAAGGACCAATAGAAGCGACCATTGGTAGCTCAAGAGTTGAAGTGTGGAGGCCTTGATGCTCTCTGAGATGGGTTGTTTCCTTGCAGAGGTTTCATGACCAACGAGGTAACATCAGTGCTAGAAGGGAATAGGGTTTGCAAACGGGGGGGGAGGAGGACTGTGAGGCCTTTGATGCTCTCGGAGCTTGGTTGTTTCCTTGCAGACATTTCATGACCCAACTAGGGAACATCATCAGTGTTAGAAAGGAGTGGGGCTTGCAGAAAGGAGGAAGAGGAGGACCATGCTTTTTGAGCCAGGTGGAATTCTTGTGGATGTTTCATAATCAAACTAGGTAATATCATCAGGACTAGAAAGGAGTAGGGTTTGCTCTCTGTTTATGTGCTAGTAGCTTGTAGTCGGTGGAGTGTTCTTGGTAGTTCCTTGAATAGGGTGTTGTTTACTGATTGATTGTTGGTCTAGTATTAGATAGATAGGTAGATAGGTAGATAGATGACATAGGTAGATAGATGATATAGATAGATGATAGATAGGTAGGTAGGTAGGTAGGTAGGTAGGTAGATAGATAGATAGATAGATAGATAGATAGATAGATAGATAGATAGATAGATAGATAGATAGATAGATAGATAGATAGATAACCAATAGAAGCAAATATATATAGCTCAGGGTTGAACTTTGTAAAGAGAATAGATTAGAACTAGAACAGAATAGAATAGAATCTGGAAGGGACCTTGGAGGTTTTCTAGTCCAGCCCTCTGCTCAAGCAGGAGAACCTATACCACTTCAGATAAGTGACTGTCTAGTCTTTTCTTAAAAACTCCAGTGATGGAGCATCCACGATTTCTGAAGGCAATTTCTCTTCCACTGGTTAATTGTCCTCACTGTTAGGAAGTTTCTCCTTAATTCCAGGTTGCTTCTCTCTTTGATTAGTTTCCAACAGTTGTTTCTTGTCCTGCCCTCTGCTACTTTGGAGAATAATTTGACCCCCTCTTCTTTGTGGCAGCCCCTAAAATACTGGAATACTGCTATCATGTCACCCATATTTCTTCTTTTCTTTAGACTAGCTAGCCAAACCCAAGTCCTGAAGCCATTCTTCATATGTTTTAGTCTCCAGGCCTATAATCATCTTAGTTGCTCTTCTCTGTATTTTTTTCCAAAGTCTCAACATCTTTTTTGTAGTGTGGTGTCCAAAATTGGTTGCAGTATTCCAGGTGTGGTCTTATTAGGATTTTATAAAGTGGTACTAATACTTCACGTGATCTTGATTCTGTGCCTCTGTTTATACAACACAGGATTGCATTAACTTTTTTGGCGGCGGCTGCACGCTGCTGGTCTTTTGGGCAAGACCATCATGAGCTTAAGAGCCTGTGGCTTGATTATCTTCAGGAGGATGCCCAAGGCATGTGCTACTGCCGCAACTGACAGCCACGTTGAATATCTCCTTCTGCAAACCTCATACGGGACCCATCACTGGACACCCCCAAAAGGTGCGCTACTCACCCTGTTGTCTGAAATAGCCCTGCAGTTTCTACTGGAGATGGAGCCAGTGAGATGTTCTTGGCTGGAGATCAGCCAATCAAGAAAGCCTGCTGGCTGGGGAATTCTGGGAATTGAAGTCCACCTATCTTAAAGTCGCCCAGGGTTGAAAAACACTGAGCTACTTTTCTGGCATCAGCTCTGGATCCACTCAACTCTCTTGAACTTTAATCATTTATTAGATTTTATTTCCCCTTTACTATATATTTTATAGGTAGCTCAAGGGGGTAAACATACCTAATACTTCTTCCTCTCCTGTTTACCCTTCAGCAGGGGTCTTCAAACGTGGCCCTTTTATGACTTGTGGACTTCAACTCCCAGAATTCCTCAGCCAGGCACACTGGCTGAGGAATTCTGGGAGTTGAAGTCCACAAGTCATAAAAGGGCCAAGTTTGAAGACCCCTGCCGTACAGCCACAACCTTGTGAAGTGGGTTGGACTGAGAGAGAGAGAGAGAGAGGAACTGGCCCAAAGTCACTCAGCTGGCTAACATAGCTAAGGCAGGACTAGAACTCTCCATCTCCTAGTCAGTGATTGGCCCCAAATCACCCAAGTGTCTTTCCTGCCAAAGGCGGTACTAGAACTCACCGACTCCTTGTGATTGGCCCAATGCCACCTAGCATATCAAGAAAGCATGCTGGCTGGAGAATTCTGGGAGTTGAAGTCCATCCATCTTGCCATATTTGGACAACACTGCTCTAGAATCTCACAGGCTGGGGAGGGGCTGCCCTGTTTCAAAACCCCTGCTTTATAGTTAAGTTGATTATTGTATATTAGAGTTACAGTAAGTTTATACTTGTTTACATTAGGAATGGGTTGCTTGGGTTAGACTTGGATTATTATGTGATTATTCCTGTACTCAGTTCTGGGAAGTCTGGGGGGGGGGGGGGGGGAGAAGGGGATTAGGGGATAGAAACTATAAAAATTGATGTATTTATATATTATAGATAAATAATGGAATTGTATTAAAAAGAGGAGATGCTCGGCTGGTACCCCAAACTGCATTCGAAGAGGTGGTTAAGAAGGGAGAAGGGATGTAGGGAGGTGGAAAGGAGGAAAGAGGAGAGGTTGTGGGTTTAGGACAGTGGTTCTCAACCTGTGGGTCGGGACCCCATTTGGGGTCGATCGACCATTTCATGGGGGTCGCCAAGCAAGGCTGTCCGCCATTTTTTTTGTCCGCCATTTTTTTCCCTTTTCCGGCAGGTGCCTTACCTCCCTTGGGCTGGGCCAGCTGGTGGTCGGCCTGCTCCGTCTCTGCCGCTTGCCAGCTACGCCTCGGCCAGCACAGGGGCGGAACCACGCATGCACGGCGCTCCCGGGCAGGGAAAGTCCTCGACTTATGACCGGTTGGATAGTCCTCGACTTACGACCGGTTTAGTCCTTGACTTACGACCGGTTTAGTCCTCGACTTACGACCGGTTTAGTCCTTGACTTACGACTGGTTGGGGTCGCGGCATTAAAAAGGTTGAGAACCACTGGTTTAGGAGGAGGAAGGAAGAGGAAAGTGAATGAGGGTGGATGCAAGGCGGGGACTGCAGAGCGTCTCCGAAAACGTATTGAGTAGGATTATCTTTTATGCTTGTGTAAGTAAATGCATCATATTTGTATTACTTGTTGTTTAATTTGAAAAATTAATAAAAATTTTATATAAAAAAACAACAACCCTGCTTTGTCTTCTCTCATTAGGCCATGTGGACCCAGGGGAAGATGACCTGCGCACAGCCCTGCGAGAGACCCAGGAAGAGGCCGGCCTGGCCTCCACCCAGTTCAGCATCCTGGAAGGTTTTAAGAAGGAACTGAATTACGTGGTCAGAGGCAAACCCAAAACGGTGGTCTACTGGCTGGCTGAGTTGAAGGACCGGGACACGGAGATCAAGCTTTCTTCAGAGCATCAAGGCTTTCGCTGGCTGAGCCTTACTGAGGCCTGCAGACTTGCAGACTATGAGGACATGCAAGGCACCCTCAGAGAAGCTGATCACTTTCTCTCTTCCATAGAATAAAAGCTAGCCTGGGATGTAGGAATGTTTTAGCAGATGTTGCACTACTGGGTTTTTGTTTTTTTTTTACTCTTGCAGCAGTGTTTCTCAACTCTGGTCGCTTTGAGGTGGGTGGACTTCAACTCCCAGAATTCTGAGCTTGCTTGTCTTCTTTGCAGACGTTTCATTACCCAACTAGGTAACCTCATCAGTGCTAGTGGGGTTGGAGTTTTCTCCCAGTTTATGCAGGGCAAGCGACTGTTCACAAAACAGGAGCAAAATCCCACAGTCACTATCACTGATGATGTTACCAGATTGGGTAATGAATTGTGTGCAAGAAAACAACCAAGCTCAGAGTGTACCAGGACCCCTCTGTCATCTCCTCCTCCTCCTCCTCCTCCTCCTCCTCCTCCTCCTCCTCCTCCTCCCTGCAAGCCACACTCTCTTCTAGCACTAATGATGTTACCTAGCTGGGTAATGAAATGTCTGCAAGAAAGCAACCAGGCTCAGAGAGCACCAAGGACCGACCCTACAGTCCTCCTCTCCCCAAACCCCACTCCTTTCTAGCACTGATGATGTTACATAGTTGGGTCATGAAACCTCTGCAAGAAAAAAAAAACGAAGCTCGGAACGCACCAAGAACCCCCCCCCCCCCCCCGCACACATATTCTGGGACTTAGTGCATACTTCCTGAGGGTGCCATGTTGAGGAAGGCTAACGTAGAACGGTCTTTCTGGATTCATCCAAAAAGCCCATACAGATCAAGTTGGATCTTTGTTCTCTCCATTTGCTAGTTGGGTCCTAAGCAGAAGGTCACTCAAAGGGCTCGATCCTAATGAGAGAAGTGCCAAGTTTAGATGGAATTAATCACAGGAGATTCCACACCCATCTCTCTTTCTGAGACTCCCGGGCAACTTAGCCTGGGAAGGCTTTTGGGATGAATCCAGCAAGACTACTCTACTGTGCTCTGGAGGTTATGATAATAATAATAAAGTTGGAAGGGGACCTTGGAGGTCATCGAGTCCAACCCCCTGCTCAGGCAGGAAACCCTACACCATTTCGGACAGATGGCTGTCCAGTCTCTTCTTAAAAACTTCCAGTGTTGGAGCATTCACCGCTTCTGGAGGCAGGTTGTTCCACTGGTTAATTGTTCTCACTGTCAGGAAGTTTCTCCTTAGTTCTAGGTTGCTTCTCTCCTTGATTGGTTTCCACCTGTTGCTTCTTGTCCTGCCTTCAGGCTCTTTGGAGAATAGCTTGACTCCCTCTTCTTTGTGGCAGCCCCTGAGATACTGGAACACTGCTATCATGTCCCCCCTCGTCCTACTCTTCGTTAAACTAGACATACCCAATTCCAGCAACCCTTCAATTAATCTGCAGGACTATAATAGCATGATCTGTGATAGGGTGTCTCTTTTTTGAGAAATTGGACTTGTCTTTAAGCACGCTTTTTATTTTATTCTGACACAGATTTAAAACAAAGCATCCTGTTGATCAACACTTTACAATAGAAAACCAAAAAGAAAAAGGGAACAATTTTGTTTTATACAAGAAGTCCTCGACTTATGACCACAATTGAGCCCCAAGTTTCTGTTGTTAAGTGAGACATTTGTTAAGTGAATTTTGACCCATTTTACGACCTTTCTTGCCATAGTTGCTAAGTGAATCCCTGCCCGGTGTTAACTTAAGTCACCTGGTTGTTCAGCGAGTCTGGCTTCCCCCATTGTCTTTGCTGGTCAGGAGGTCGCAAAAGTGGGTCACATGACCTTAGGACACAGCAACGGACATAAGTATGAACCAGTTGCCAAGCATCTGAATTTGGATCATCTGATCATGGGGATGCTACAAACATCGTAACTCTGAAAAAAGGTCTTAAGTCACTTTTTTCAGTGCTGTTGTAATTTTGGTCGCTAAATGAACTGTTGTAAGTTGAGGACTACCTGTACACAGTTCTGGAACTTGGTCTAAAACCAGGGGTAGGCAACCTTGGCTCTTTTATGACTCGTGGACTTCAACTCCCAGAATTCCTGAGCCAGAATGACTCAGCTTGGAAACCTCTCTCTTTCCCCTCAGTGTGGCTGGCTCAGGAATTCTGGGAGTTGAAGTCCATGAGTCATAAAAGAGCCAAGGTTGCCTACCCCTGGTATAAGGTCTCCTGTTCTAAGCGGTTAGCCTCCTAGGCCAGGGGTAGGCAACCTTGGCTCTTTTATGACTCGTGGACTTCAACTCCCAGAATCCCTGAGCCAGCAAGGCTCAGCTTGGAAACCTCTCCCTTTCCCCTCAGTATGGCTGGCTCAGGAATTCTGGGAGTTGAAGTCCACGAGTCATAAAAGAGCCAAGGTGGCCTACCCCTGGTCTAAACACTATACCAGTGTTTCTCAACCTTGGCTACTTTAAGGTCAGGACTTCAACTCCCAGAATTCCCCAGCATGGCTGGCTGGTGAATTCTGGGAGTTGAAGTCCACACCTCTTAAATTTGGCAAGGCTGAAAAATACTGCTGACTTATACTTTAAACTTGGGCTTAAAAAAGCCCATCATTGTTAGTCACCTCAGTAGCTATGCTTGAAGAAATAAACTGCATTTTGTCCTAGGATAAGTTTCTGAAGCTCCTTCAAGCATAAAGTCTCCAAGCTCTGAACAATTATTGTGGGTTCAGGTATGCCAAGTATAGACCAGGCAAATTAACTACCTTTTCTCTGCATTCATACAATCACACACTGAGGGCAATCACAACGGCTAGCATGACCTTACTGCTTAATGAATGTGGTTGTCAGTATGTTAACAGGAAGCGGATATCCATCCAACAAGCAAGCAAGTTAAATATCTCTCTGCCAATAAAATCTAACCTCTTCAAGTTATGCCTGGGGACTCCGTAGCTTGTACAAAGTGTTTCCTTGTCAATAATGCGGAAGATGCTGAACCTCATTCTCTGAAATGCTTTTGCAACATCTAATCTAGTCCTAAGCATAACAGAATGCTGGAAGGGACCTTGGAGGTCATCTAGTCCAACCCCCTGCCCAAGCAGGAGACCCTATATCATCTCAGACAAATGGCTGTCCGGTCTCTTCTTAAAAACCTCCAGTGTTGGAACACCCACAACTTCTGTTGTTCCATTAATTAATTGTTCTCATTGTCAACAAATTTCTCCTTAGTTCTAGGTTGCTTCTCTCCTTGATTAGTTTCCATCTGTTGCTTCTTGTCCTGCCCTCAGGTGCTTTGGGGGATAGCTTGACCCCCTCTTCTTTGAAGGGATGGTTGTGCTTAGAATCACAGAGCTGGAAGGGACCTTGGAGGTCTTCTAGTCCAATCTCCTGCTCAGGCAAGAAACACTATACCGTTTTCAGACAAATGGTTGTCCAATCTCTTCTTAAAAACCTGCAGGGACGAAGCACCCACAAATTCTGAAAGCAAGCCGTTCTACTGATTAATTGTTCTCGCTGTCAGGAAATTTCTCCTTAATTCCAGGTTGCATTGCTCCTTGATTAGTTTCCGTCAGTTATTCCTTGTCTGGCCTTCAGGTGCTTTGGAGAATAGCTTGACTCCCTCTTCTTTGTGACAACCTCTCAAATACTGGAAGACTGCTATCATATGTCACCCCCTCGTCCTCCTTTTCGTTAAACTAGACACATCCAATTCCAGCAACCGTTCTTTATATGTTTTAGAAGTCCTGATGGAGTCTCATTCAAGAATTATACCCAAGTGCCCTTGTTTGGTCATCAATGTACAGTAGCTACAATGCATGTGTGAAGGCCATTATGTCATGTGTCTGATTAACAAAACACTTAAAAGACCTTTCAGGCATTTTTTTAACCTAAAAGCCTTTATTAAGGTTACAGAGATGTCAGTACGGCATGGTGGAATGCTAAGATCTGATTTTCTCTTCCGTTGCACATAACATTCCAGGCATTTGTCCCTCCCTTATTTTGGGGTCATGATTCACATCTTCCAATTAACTTGGAAGATGTGATTCACGTCTGATTCCTTTTTCCCGGGCTTTCCTTATATTCTCCTCCCCTTTCACTGTTGCCTGATTTAACTATAAAAATACCAGACAGTTCTGCATATTGTCAAAGCAAGAATATACAGTATTTGCAGCGTTGACAGATTACATCTTCCTTGCTTTCTTTTTAGTGAAAGTATTAGTCTACTCAGGGGTCTTCAAACATGGCCCTTTTATCACTTGTGGACTTCAACTCCCAGAATTCCTCAGCCAGGCATACTGGCTGAGGAATTCTGGGAGTTGAAGTCCACAAGTCATAAAAGGGCCAGGTTTGAAGACCCCCTGGTCTACATCATAATCCCCAGGAGAAAAGCTATAGAAGTGTGAGCAAAAGAGCTCTGCTAGGAAAAACAGGATTTCAAGAGATTCAGTCAGGAGAAGATGGAGTAGGTCAGCTAGTAGGAATGGTCAAAGAGCGAGGTGGTGGTCCCGTCTTTCCATCCGATCAAGATCTCACCATGCTTGAGCGAAGGAGAAGGTGAGGCAGGGATGATGTGCATCTTGGAGATGGGGCTGACCATTCCAGGTTGGTGTTCCTCACAGCTCATCTGCCGACTCTTCAAAGCTAACAGCTTCTTCTTCCTACGGCCCAGAAGCAGACCCCCTTGAGTCACCCAGAGTGGGGTTATGGTGGCCACATAAACGTCCCATAAATAAAGAATGAGAATTCCTCCCAACCCCACATGGCCCTAGCCTAGTACTTACTTTTTGGATTGGATATTGAACGTCAGGATGATTATCCCCAGGATGAAGGCCAGAGGACACAGAACGAGCAGGGTTGTTCTCCAGCTGAGACCTACAGAGGGGAACATCACAAGCACCTTCGCACCAAGAGTAACAGAATTGGAAGTCTTCTAGTCCATCCCCCTGCTCAAGCAGGAGACCTTATACCATTTCAGAGAAATGGCTGTCCAATCTCCTCTTAAAACCCTCCAGTGATGGAGCACCCACAACGTCTGGAAGCAAGATGTTCCACTGATTAATTGCTCTAATTGTTGGGAAATTTCTCCCCTGCTCAAGCAGATAATAGAATCTGTGGATA